TCCATCAATTTAGATAACGAAATCACACAATACACATGTGTAACAATTCTATGTAATTAAATGATAAATTTTATATACAATATTGTTCATTTATAACAAATAACAAGGTTATAAACATGCAATAATCGAGCTAAGTTGCTTATCGATTTACTATTATACCTAATTCATCTCGATATTACTTAAACTCTGACCTCTCAAAAACACCAAAAACATAAGAAATTGGAAACGCCAATACTCGGATTGTTTGGTGGATCATGGATGGGACTTCGTCTTAGACCAAGAAAAAAGGCAATCACCATGTTCTTCTCATCTGTCATTCCACAAAATCAATAATAATGTTGGTCACTGTAATACACAAGTAGATGTTTGTTTCCTTAATTAGGATTACAGTACTAATTAATTGTATACTGACAGAGACAATTTTACTACATCTTGGAAGATGACAAAAAAAGAAAGAACCAATAAAAAACGCGTGTTGACTACGCTCCAACTGTGGTTTAAGTTTAACACTACAGCAAGACCTAGAAAAACGAGCCGGAAACGAAAAGAAGTCGTTTCCACTAGTTTTAACCTTTTATAGTAATTAATGTGAAGGTGTGGGTCCAGTCTTGTAATAATTTTTAAATTAAGTGGTGTAATGATGATTAAATAATTATGAGAAAGAGCCATAAAAATGTTGCTAAAACGACAGGTGGACTTCGTTAAGTTTCTCACTTTCCAGGTAATTAATTACTTCTGCTTTCGCCTTATCTTCTCTTCTCACTTCCGTTCACACAACTTCACGTAACAGCAACTCCCCATTTGTTAGTTGGGATTTTTATTTAAAATAAAAATAAAAATAACCCCACCTTTTTTCTTTTATTATTTTCTTCCCCTTTTTTCCTGAAATCGTGGCAGATTTTCTGAATACCATGTTATAATTAATGTGGGAAAAAATTCAATGACAGATATTTACTTTATTTTTGGTCCAACAAAAATTCGTAAAACTATCTTTAAGTAGAAGAGAATCAATCCAGCTAACAGGATATATGAGATTCTGCTGGCCTAGCAGGGGGATTGTTCATTGTAGAATATTTTTTTGTTAAAATATTTTTTTTGCGGTTTTTGGTATATGTTTTGCAGAGACTGCATGAATTACGGTCCAACTGTCTTCTACTCTAAGACGATAATACTCCCTCCGTTCCATAATTATTGTCCACTTTGACCAAAAAATTTTGTCCCAAAATTATTGTCTAATTTGACTTTTTATGGATCAAGTTACACATTTGTCCTTAGTAAAAAAAATTATCCATAAAATCTTAGTGGTTAAACAATTACTTATGTAGGGGTATATCCGGTTGTTTAAGGTAAAATATAGTTAAGTTTGACCAAAAATAAAATCTTTTATTTTAGTAAAACTGGACAATAATTATGGGACGGAGGGATAAAACTGTCATTGCGATTAGTGAATTTCTGTATGTCATAGAGACATTTGTCTTTGTTGAACTTAGGCTCCGTTTGTTTGGTTTTTGGATGATTTTTTCAAATTATTTTAATAATAATTGTCCCATCTCAACGTACCTTTTTACATTTTCAATATTTTTTTTTACATTTCTAATACAAAGACACCTAAAAACACACGTAAAAAAACGAAACAAACATATTAATGATCTGATCAGGAAATTGTTCAAGATGCGTTACTTTGTGAATTTTGTCTGATATAGTATGAACGAGCATATGTTGAAGTATAGTTGATCAAGTTATTTGCTATACTTGACTGCTCTCTTTTTCATTTTGTTTTTGTTTTTTTTCCATTGCCAAATGACTTGTCGTAATTTGAAATGGGAAAAGGTTAGCCTGTGGTTATTGTTATGATGATTTCAGATAGTACGAAATTGAGTAGGTAATGTGAGAGTAGACGACTAGATTTAAAGTTAGAGGTAAAATACACGAGTGATATGTAGTTTAATAATTAATATCAGCAACACAAATTTTTTATATTCTCTTCGTCTCATAAAAATAATTCTTTTGTTACACTAATTTTAATTCAATAAAATAAAATATTATTTAAGATAAAGATAGTGATTAATTATTTAACATTTGTGATTTTCCTCGCTTCTTTACATTAAAATACACTTGTAAGAGAACTTTTTTGTTTTCCAATATATCTGCATCCGGTGTTGATTCATAGACTTCTTTCAAGAAATAAAATTCTCTTAACAAGTATTTTTTTTTTTTACAAAGAAAGATACTAAACGCCTAGATTCATATTATTACATTTCTATGGTATGATACCCAAATAAAATTACGTTATGACCACATTCTAATAACAAGTATTTTAACAACTGTTTCACCTCAATCACAAGTTATAGTTAGCCCAATACCCATTCTGGCCATATACTGATTCTACTAACTCCATTATTCTGTGATTAGTACTGTTTTTTAATGTTTCGGCTTCAAAAAAATAATTTCATTGTGGATAAGTACTACTACTTCATTATTCAGTCATTAGTACTGATTAATTTAATGTCTCCGCTTCAAAGAAAGTAATTTCGTGGTGGATTCCGATTAGTAGTGCTCCATTATTCAGTGATTACTACTGAATAATTTAAATGTCTCGGCTTCAAAAAAATAATTTCATTGTGAATCTAAAACAGGAGATGGAGTACATCGCTTGCATGATTACATGCCCATTAATATTCGAATGAAAAGGTGCATAAAAAAGCCCTTAAAAAGCTTTCGATGATGCACGTGGACAATTGTGTTGTAACCGGATTGGCGAAAAAAGATGGCGGCAATTCGTTAAAAAGTGAAAAATGGAAAGCAACAGGTAAATACTAACTCAATTCCAAAATAAGTGTCATTCTACATTTTGAAAATAGTTTTAAAAACTCTTGAATAGAGTAATAAAATTACTTGAATATCCTCAATTAACTCCATTAAAAAAATATCCATCAATAGTATTAATTCTTTTGAGGTTAATTTTAAAAATTTTAGACAAAAAGTACATTAAAATGTAAAAACGACACTTATTTTGAAATTTTTTCATTTTGTTTAAATAATACTAATTTTGGAACGGAGTTTAGTACTAAAGAAGAAGAATATTGGGCTATTGGCTGCTGCTACATTTTTAGCTTTTAGAATTTCATCGTTAGATGTGAAAAATAGATAGCCTAAAGCTATAAATAAAAGCTGCTCTGGACATTCCCTGTTCCCCAGCTTGTTTTTGCTGCATCAAACAAAAGAAATGGAGCAAAAAGTCCACCCCACTCCTAGATTTGTTCCCACCAACGTAGATAGATAGTCGACATTTTCAATAAACTATATAACACAATATTAGGGGTGTTCACTAATCTGGATTAGTCTGGATTGATAGTAATTCATAACTAAATTGTTCGTTACGGTTTGAAAAATTTTCAATCTGTGATTGGACCGGATTGGTGTATAATCCGAACTAATCCAATCCGTTTTTAACGGTTTGGTTTGGGTGGATTGGCGGTTTGGGCTTCTGATTGGACTTTTTCATTTTGGACAAAAAATTAAACATTTTTTTATTATTGGACTTTTTTTGGGGCTTTTCTTGAAATTTTTTGGGCCCTTTTCAATCCTTTTTTTGGAGGCTTTTCTTGAAAAAAAAATAAAAAATTAGTCCATGGGGGATTTGAACGCATAAGGACTAGTGTAGAGGGAACAACAACAATACCAATAGGACAACTTAGCACTTTCGATAAAAGTCTCTATCCGACGCTATATATACAAAACCAATATATTATTATTTTATAATATATATACGGTCCAGTCCGGATTGACAGACAGTTTGACAGTGTCAAACCGTAATCCAGACCGGATTGACCGGTTTTTAATTTTTCAATCCGCCGGTTTAAAAATATAATTGTAATCTGCCCGTTAATCCGAACCGATGACCGGATTGGGCAGTTCCACCGATTTGAGCCAAACCGTGAACACCCCACACAATATGGAGTACACAATACAAAATGTGAGACAACTATAAAGAGGCCCGGAGAAATTAGATGGAATGTTGACAAAACAGTACAATTAAAAGGGGATGAATTACCAACTTTAAAGTCGTGAACTCTGCATTCTATTGCATCTCATATCATATTTTCTTCACCTTTTTACAAGTTTTAGTTTCCATTATTTTGATGAATAGGCACAATAATACAAATGATCTTTTGTAGCAAAAACTTTCTTTGATCTCTGATACTGTTCCATACAATACAAGTGACTGTTAATTGTAACGTCTGACTCAGAAATTGCATGCAGTCATTATATTACACCTCTAGTTGCATGCAACATAGCATTGATTTAACATATATTTTCTTGGTCCAATTTTTAAAGTTCAATTTACATTGAATGACATAAATTTAAAATTGGTGGATTTAAATATTAATTAAAGTACAAGAAATTGTATTCTTACACGCGGTATTGTTTTCCTATAGATAGTTGAAACTGAAATTTTGAATCAAACATACTCCCTCCGTCCCAAAAATAGTACTCCCTCCGTCCCATAATTATTGTCCACTTTGCCCAAAAAATTTTGTCCTAAAATTATTGCCCAATTTGACTTTTTATGGATCAAGTTACACATTTGTCCTTAGTAAAAAACATTATCCATAAAATCTTTGTGGTTAAACAATTACTTATGTAGGGGTATATTCGGTTGTCCAAGGTAAAATATAGTTAAATTTGACTAAAAATAAAATCTTTCATTTTAGTAAAACTGGACAATAATTATGAGACGGAGGGAGTACAAATTTGCAATATTAATTTGGACTATTTTTTTTTGAGATAGAGGTTGTATTAAAATTAGTTACATAGTGCCTTTGACCGAATCAACTAGTTAAGTCAACGAAAAATATGCTGTAGTAATTTCTACAAGGATGGAAATCATGATCGAATGTCCAATGATATTCATCAACAAATTAAAAACTATTGGGTTAAAGATCAAACTTTCAAATTTATAGAGGTCATTTTTCGAATTTTCAAGACTTCAGTTTCCTCCCCCGTTTTATTTTAATCTTCATTTTTTGACTTGTCTTTCTCCCTTCCACTCCAATCTGTACCGCACAACAGAGTCCCTCCTCCCGTCGCCGGCGCCACAACCACCAGTGTTTCTTCGTTGTTTCCCAACTATTTCGCCTAACCCCGTCACTGAAACCTTCTAAATCTTATGGTTCTGGATCGGTATGTTTTTTGCTGTATGATTTTATTCGTTTTTTTTTCCCCCACAATAATTTCCATTGACATCTCTTTATCTCCGGAAGGTACCATTTTTGTCGTGCCCAGCATGCGAGAAATTTTAGTTTATTACGAGTTCAGTTAAATTCTTGCAAAAAATTGCTCCTGGAATTCTTTTCATTACAATTGATTTCCGTTGTGATTTCGCAATGCGTCTCGGTTTGATGGTGATACTTTCCCCTGCAATTTAGTATTTCGTTTAATTGAGCGTACGTGATTTTTAATTTAGTCTGTTCCCTGATAATTGAACTCTTTCTTTGGTCGATCAATAAGTGCCCGGATGTATTCTGAAATGGCTATTCTGTTTCAAATATTTCGTTTAGGTATTAGCTTGAAACAGTTGAAGAAACTCTCCAATGGCGGAGGTAGAGAAGGATTTGGAAGCAAGAAGGACTGTTTTCGTGACTGTCGGGACAACTCGTTTTGATTCCTTGGTTAGAGCTATGGACACACCAGAAGTTAAAGAAGAGTTGTTCAGAAAAGGTTATACTCATCTTCAAATTCAAATGGGCCGGGGATCTTATATTCCTACAAAGGTAATACAAAGGGTTCGTTTTGTTTACATTATTTCCAATTCTTATCATAAGTGAATGGCAGCCATTGTAGGTTCATCTATCCTCTATGTAAGTTTATCTAGGCATTTTGGTTCAGAAAAAGGAAGGGAACACGTGAATCATTTGGTTGCACTCAATTTCTATGTAATTAAGAACTCTAAATTGAATCAGTTTGGATGTCACTATCGATTGAAGTTGAAGAAGATGTAGGCATTTCAGGAATCAATAGTTAGATACCGATGAAGTTGAATGCACATTATGCGTAAATGGATATGGATGATAATGTCGCTGCTTGATGCTCATCTGTTGAAGGTTTCTTTGTTAATGGTTTTAGAAGGATTCATGGACACTAAATGTTGGGTTTCTTGAGAGTAGCCAATAGATTTTTGGTCTTGAATCCATTCTTTATGAAATAGGACGGATATTTAATTATCTTATTTGTAATTCAGTCCATATTACATTTAAGAAGGTTTCAAGGATGAAAACTTAGTGCATCTGGCTTCTTGAACTGTTGGATTTTGTGTGGACATGCTTTTTGAATTGATAATGACCATTTTTAAGGTCATAGATATGCACTTTAAAGATTGTATCCCTTTACATAGGTTACCGTTATATGTGGTTTACTCATTACTCTTTAACTAATTTTTTTCAGTCTACAGGAGAAGTTGGCTGTTTGGATGTAGATTACTTCACATTTTCGTCAAGCATAGCTGAGTACCTGAGATCTGCATCCCTAGTAATAAGTCATGCAGGTAAGTTTTTTGTTGTGTTTGAATGAACTGTGATGCAATAGTTGTGGTGACACAAGAAGCTTTAATATTCACTATGATTCAGTATGCCTCTCTTCCTTTTCCTTGCGAAGAAATAAAGTTTTTTTTTTTTTTTTTCCTTCCCCGATGAAATATCATCTTTAGAAGCCCAAATCAAGGTGCATTGTATTCTAATATACTCAAGTCAAACTTAAGAAGTTTGTTATGGCTGAAATTGCAAGTCTGGCACATGGGAAGGAATTACTTTGTTTACAGTCATTTACATTTTCTCATGATTTGTGGTATCTATTTTTGATCCTTCAGAAGTAGGTGAAATATTAGGTGAAACATTATTGGTACAGTATACAGTTGATATTTGCATACTCATTTTGTTGATGAATCACATAGGATGTTGTGCAATTTTAACTCAGTTATTATTGATATCCAGACCCCAACCGAGTTGGGAATATACTGGGTTGTTGTTGTTGTTACTATTTAGGCTCTAATTCTTGAGTTGAGCTAGTCAGTACTTGACAACTTGATTCTTAAGATTCTAGAACTGATTTACGTGTGTTATTTAGGCTCTAATTCTTGAGGTGAGCTAGTCAGTACTTGACATCTTGTATAGTTTCTTAAGATTCTGGAACTGGTTTATGTAAATTGTCAGGTTCAGGGAGTATATTTGAGACGTTGAGGCTACAGAAACCTTTGATTGTGGTAGTTAATGAAGATTTGATGGACAATCATCAAAGCGAGTTGGCAGAAGAATTGGCAGAGCGAAAGCATTTGTATTGTGCTCGGCCCCAAACACTCCACCAAACTATAGCGGCAATGGAGTTGGGGTCTCTTATTCCATACCAACCGGGTGATGCAAAACCAGTTGCAAGACTCATAAACAACTTTCTGGGATTTCCTGAAGAATAACGGGACTGCAGCCACTCTTCTCTTGGGTTTGGTTAAATAACAGAGGGCAAAACGATTTGGGAATATCTTCATAATTTCTTAGCTCAGGAGGTGGTGGTTGATCGTACTGCAGATATTTATATCCTCTGTAGAGGTTGGTATGTTCATGAATTACCTTTCTATTTTAGTGATGTGGCTCAACAGAATTTGGTACAATGATCTTCAATGAATTTCTTGACCTAAACAATGTTGTTTTTGGCAAATTTTTTTTTTTTTGGGGGTGTTAGGTCATGCTGCTCCTATTTTTGCGTTTATAATTTAGGTTAGATCATTAGGCACGTTACAACTTGTACTAAGAACAGAAGCTTATTGCTAAAATATTTGACCTTTTTCAATACATCAACATTTGTCATTCTGGATTACCCAACATCAGATGAAACAAATTCTACAAATGAAACATTCACATTCTTCTTGTTAATGCTGCTGATTAAGCTCCTAATACTGAACAATGGTTGGGCAAGAATAATGGTTTTCTGGAGAGTCGATGGAGAGTAAATAATATGTAGAGCCAATGGCTTTGCTATCTGCACAGTTGTGCTGAATCGACAGAGCCAATGAGGAAGACAAAACAAAGACAATACCACTGCTGAAGATTTCCATCTGTAGATGATATCACCCTTGTAAATCTTGCCACCTAATTGAGAAGAAATCACGCGAAAATAAGTTTGCTTCAATAACACTATAACAGTAGTTGATCTGTGGTGAACTTCTGTGCATTTAACTTGGTAATTGAGCTGTTTCCAGAGCGGACATCATATGCATTTTGAATCTCACCAGCTTCAGCATCAAGAAATCTTGAGCTTAAACAATAATTGATAATCTGAAAAATGGAAAAACTGCTGATCTCTTAGCTATGCTAAAAGTATATCTTTTTTTTATTTTTATTTTTTATACAAAAAGTCTTCACACCGATTTGCGACCTTCCAAAATCTGCTACCTCATGACCACATACAGAAGAAGCAGAACCTCTTCCTTTTTCATTTTTTTTTTTTTTTTGATCTCATCAATATTATCAATTCTCATACGAAGGCTTCAAATAACAGAATATGCAGACATTTTGCTGCAATGTTGAATGAGCAGCTTGAAGCAGATCTCATTTCCCACTGTTATTAGCTTCCCCTCAGGTTCTTGAATTGAAGCAAGACCACATGATGAAGGTTCTTTTCTGTTTTAACTATACAAGGTGAGGGTGTAGTGAGCTGCATTTTTGTTTGTATGGATCGAAAGACAAAGATATAAGGAACAATCAATCCGTATTCATGCATATTCAGATAGCCTCTTTTTATGATCCTGTTGATCAATAAAATTAAATTAGCTAGTGAAATCAGAAATGAAAGACGAAGTTAACAACTGACTACACAACTGGCTGCATTAAAGTAATTTTCAAGTTCAAAAAGAGGGCAAAAGACAGCTGAATGCAATGACCAACCTGCAACTGCACAAGAACCTTTCATTTCAGTTTAGGCTTCATTTCATGTGAAATACATTGGGCTTTGATCTTACTGCAGATTTTTTCTATTCTTTTGTACAATCTTTTTTGACTCTTATCACATCATCTTGAGTAATGTTTGATGAATGAAACACTCCTACTGTGTTAGTTTCGTATAGCGTTTGATTTTCCATCAAGGAGCACTCAAACAACGAGGTAAAGGTTCGGCCAACTAATGAGCTATAATTAAACAGAGGTCAAATTTTTAAATTTGGATTGAATTTTCAGGCATTCAATAATGCTTTTGAAAGTAAATTATCATACTTTTGTACGCATATTTTTGCTTAAAAATGCGTTTGTTTGGAGGGAGGAGTGTAATTTTTTTTTTTTTTTTTTATTTTTTATTTATGGATGTTGCTCTTTATTGAAGTAATAGAGTGAACCTCAAAACAAGTCATCAACCTTTAATATATTTTCACTCTAGGTCATCAATTAAATTTATTTGTAACACATGTTACCTTACTGAAATTTTAATCCATTTCAGATTATTCTGTTAATTTTGACCGTTAAATAGTGACGGAGATCCATTTTTCATATGTTTTTGGGTTCAAGGGTATTTTTGTTATTTTTGTTATTTTTTTTCATACACCCTCACTTCCTAGGAACAAGAAGAAGCCATATCCCATACCTTTAAAGAAGATTCTGGAGGCTGCCAGAGCTGATAAGAAGCTTGCAGATTTGGGAATTGAGAAGCCTCTTGAGCCTCCTAAGAATGGATTGCTCGTCCCTGATCTAATTCCCATTGCTTATGAAGTATTGGATGCTTGGAAAATTCTAATTAAAGGCCTTGCACAGCTCTTGCACGTTGTTCCTGTTCATGCTTGTAGGTAATTTTTTAATCTTTTATTTTTTTTTGTTTTTTACAATTCTTCTTCTTATACTTCCTAACTTGTATATACTGGTAGTATATTTCTAAATTTTAAAAATTTATTTTCCTTTTGTATTTTAACTTCTAGATTATAAATTTTTTTTAAAAAAAAATTCAGAAATGAAGAAGAAAAATTCGAGTTAAAGTAAACATGAAAATAAATAATTTACCATTTTTTTTAAAAATAAAAATAAAAATAATTAGCTAAGTCAAGTTGTTTTTTCTAGATTATTTAATTTTTTTCAACTTGATTGAATTATTTAATTATTAATTTTCACGTTTCTTATTCCTTTTTTTTTTTAATAATCTACAAGTTAATATACAAATAAAAAATTAATTTTCAAAAAAGAATTTGTTTGTCATTTGTATCTTAACTTCTAGATTATAAAAAAAAAGGAATAAGAAACGTGAAAATTAATAATTAAATAATTCAATCGAGTTGAAAAAAATTAAATAACCTAGAAGAAACAACTTGTCTTAGCTAATTCTTTTAGTTTTTTTTTAAATGGTAAATTATTAATTTTTATATTTACTTTAACTCGAATTTTTCTTCTTCATTTCTTAAATTTTTTTTTTTTAAAATTTTATAATCTTGAAGTTAAAATACAAAAGAAAAATAAATTTTTAAAATTTATAATTATACTATATACAAGTTAGGAAGTATAAGAAGAAGAATTGTAAAAAAAAAATAAAATAAAAAAATAAAAAAAATAATAAAATAATAATAAAATGACAAAAATAGCCCTGAACCCAAAAGCATGTGAAAAATGAATTTCCGTCACTATTTAACGGTCAAAATTAATAGAATAATCTGAAATGGATTAAAACTTTAGTAAGTAACTTATGTTACAAATAAATTTAATTGATGACCTAGAATGAAAATATATTAAAAATTGATGACTTGTTTTGAGATTCACTCGAAGTAATATTATGCGAGTAAGCGGGTGTCTTCAGTTATCATGCGATGTGAGACCACAACTTTGGTTTGTTGGTTAACCAAAGAAAAAATAAAAATAAAGAGTTACCCATATTGATGCCTTTCATTTGACTAGAAAACTTTTATTAAAATTCTACTACAAATATGATATTTCTACTGTCCCGAAATTATAATCTAGTTTGTGTTTTCATTTTTAGTAAAATTGAACTGAAAGTGAAAATCCAAATTGAACAATAATTTTTGGGACAGAGGAAATATTAAAACTGAGAGTTTCGCTATTAATAAAATTTGTTAGGATAAGAGTATACTCCCTTTGGTCCTTATAATAAAATCATTAGGATTCATTTTTGGTGAATATAATATTTTGATTTTGCTTAAATTTTATTTATCATGTATTTCCAAATAAAATTAAAATTTTAAAAATTTATTTTCATATTTATTGTGTTGTCTCAATTGTTAAAAAATATGTTTAAAGTTCGTTTTTCAATTTGAAGAACGTGATAAATGAAACTAAAGAGAAATCAAAATGCCTTATAATTAAGACCTGATGGAGTGATATTAAAATTTAGATCAATCAATACATGAAAATGATGACATATACAGTATACACATTAGTGCAACACTAGCCAAAATTATAGATATTCTTTTTTGTTTTATTAATTTAAGCAAACAAAAAACTGTATTTTTTTTTCTAATTTACCGCGGCATTAAAAAGAAGGAGAAGAAAAGGTTAAATAGGAAGGAGCGTGATAAAAAGGGGATCAATTTTGGAATTTTATATTTAATAAACGTTAAAATCGGCGGGTTTTTCTTTGTCTTTTTTCCCGACAAAATTACTTCAATTGTTTTCTGTTTATATTTCCCCTCTTCCAAAAATACCATAAACCCTATAAACCCTTGTAAGCTCAATTTTTAGCACCTTCCGGCGGAAATCACGGTTAAAATAGCAGCAAAGTCGAATGGATGATCTCTCAACCAGTTTCCGGTGAGGTAAAGCCTCGATTTCCGGCAGCGTCGCTGCCGTTGCCTTCCCCCAGAGATTATCATCGCGCCGGTAGTTACAGAGTTCCTGCTATAGATTCTACTGAGAAAATGCAGTGCATTTCGAAGCGCCTCTCCTTATCTCACTCCTCGATTTCCAGGTTTAACCGAGGTTTGTTTTCTTTCCTATTCGACTGATTTGAACAAATTTCGAACTCCTTTTTGTGATTCTGTTTATGTTCTTTTGGCTCCCTTTGTGTATTAGTCGTAATTTTTTTCATGAGCAGAGGAATTTGATCATGTAGTTGTAGACATCTCTTTTCTGGTAGGCGGAAAAATGGGAAAGGGGAGGACGGTGTTGTTTGTTCAAGGATTTCTGTTGAATTTTTGATGTTTAGCTACAATAATTGTTTATTGATAAGGCATGCTGTTGTTTTCATGAATGCTTAGAAGAATTTTAACTCTGATTATGTATGTGGGATGCAGCATTTGCTGAGACCTCCAATCCTGTGAGAGGATCGAATCTATGGATTAGAAAAAACTTGTCAGCTTCTTCTGCTGTTGCTGATCCTGATCCTGATCCTGGTGATGTTTCGCCAAAGCTCCCTAAAGAGGGTAGGAAAAGGATCTCAAAGGCGGAAAGGAAAATGTTGTTGGAGTCATTTGTGAACAGGTAATACTCGCTTCTGCTAAACACATTTCATTTGAAACGAAACAATCCATAAAACTGTTTTGGCCAATGTTTTTATTAATGGAAGTAGAATGAATCGAAAACAAGTAATGGATAAACAAGCCTCAAGGTCAAATTTTCTGATAATCTCACCTCCCTTCTATTTAATGGACTTGATACTACCATCAAGAAGTTATACCGGTGAAGGATTTGGCATTAGGTTTGATTTAATGAGTAAATCAAATTTGTGATACATATAATTCTTGCTTCGATTTAATAGACTTGATACTACCATCAATCGGTGAAGGATTTGGCATTAGCTTTAATTTAATGAGTAAATCAAATTTGTGATACATATAGTTCTTGCTTCGATTTAATAGACTTGATCCATCAGGAAGTCATACTGGCGTAGGATTTGGCATTATCATTGATTTAATGAGTAAATCCAATTTGTGATACATATAGTTCTTGCTTCAGAATCTAAAAACCATGCATCAGGATCAATATGCTCAATTTAACTATGACTGGGTGGTAGGCTGATACCTGCGAACTCCTGCTGGATCAGGTTCATTGCTGCTGACTGGCAGCTGTTCCCAATGTCATGACTCGAAGTAGGTGCATTAATATGCCAGCCATTTCCTGCATTTACAGAATTATCTTTTGCATTTATCTGACTGTTATAGCAGAGGCTTCACGATTTTCTTTGATCTTAAAATCCTCTGGATTCTGGATTTCCTACCAATTGGTATCAAGCATCCCTGGTATCTTCGTTATATACACAATAATCACATTTCAAGTCCTCCGTAGCTGTGTTATCCTTTTTCTTGAAGCCTGATCCAGTAGTATTGTTACCCTTTGCATCGTTAATCCACTGTTTTCAGCAACTTCCGTGTAAGAAAGTTGTGCATTTTTCTGAGTTTCATCAGTCAGCAACATTCCATGCACTCTTAATACACTGGATTCAATTGAGTAAAAAGGGCATCAATTGCTCCCTAGACTCTTTCTTTCCAACAGAACCAGGTAATCCATGGTTGAAAACGCATAAAGATTTGAAGATTATAAATTCAAATCTGTACTAATCAACAGCCCCATATATATTGTAGGTAAACATTCTATCTTCTTACTAATCCACATTACAGGCAATATACATAAGGATTGAACACTCTTATTATCTATTCTGAACTAAGAACATAAACTGTACAAAATACCACTCCTGGTGCACTTTTACAGCTCCACTGATGGCTATTATTTATAAATCCTTAGTTTATTTTCATAGGATATTTGATGTGCTTAGTGAGTATTTCTTGCACAAAAGCTATACCCGTCTAGAAAATTGAAAGTCAGAGGATGTTGATATTGCAGTTATAGAGCCATGAACTCTGGTAAATTTCCTACTCCTAGTGAGGCCAAGAGAGAAGTTGGTGGAGGTTACTACGCTGTGAAGAAGATTATCCAGGAGATGGAATACGGAAGTCACATATCTTCTGCAAGTTTAAGCGGGCAATTTCAAAAAGGAGGAGAAGATGAGAAAAGAGAACAACTGATAGAGGAGGTGGAACGGCAGGAAATCAAGTTGTCCAGACAAGAAACTATGGTTACAGAAGTAAAAGAAGAAAAAGAAGTGTCCGAGATTCCTAGCTCTTGTGAGAAGGATCCTCTTTCAGATCCTCTGGTTACTAACGGAGAAATCGTGAAATCTGCTCAACCTGCACACAAAAGTATGTTCATAGAAGAAAAAGAAGAAAAAGAAGTGCCTGGGATTATTAACTTGTCTCCTGAGAAGGATCCTATTCCAGATGCTCCAATTACTAGTGAAGAAATCATGAAATCTGGTCAACCTGAACATGAAACTATGGTTACAGAAGAAAAACAAGTGTCCGAGATTATTAACTTGTCTTGTGAAAAGGATCCTCTTTCAGATCCTCTGGTTACTAACAGAGAAATCGTGAAATCTGCTCAACCTGAACGCGAAACTATGTTTGTAGAAGAAAAAGAAGAAAAAGGAGTGCCTGAGATTATTAACTTGTCTCGTGAGAAGGATCCTATTTCAGATGCTCCGATCATGAAATCTGCTCAACCTGAACATGAAACTATGGTTACAGAAGAAAAACAAGTGTCCGAGATTATTAACTTGTCTTGTGAGAAGGATCCTCTTTCAGATGCTCAGATTACTAATGAAGAAATAGGGAAATCTGCTCAACCTGAACATGGAACTGTGGTTATAGAAGAAAAAGAAGTGTCCGAGATTATTAACTTGTCTTGTGAGAAGGATCATGTTTCAGATGCTCAGATTACTAATGAAGATATTGTGAAATCTGCTCAACCTAAAACAGAGGAGCCTTTGAGGTACTTTCTTTAGTTTGAATGTTATTGTTTCTGATTACTTTTTGTGTAATTAAATTGCAAATGAAGTTAACGTGATTACTTTATTATTCATATTTAAAGTGATAGGCTATATCTATGTGTTTGATCACTGACTGAGGATATCATACTGTCACTATGTCATCACTATATGGGGGAACTGCAAAATCTTGATATAATACGCCTGTAATTTTGATAGGAGATTGCTTTTTTGCCCCGAGCTCTTAGGCTTTCCATTAGCTCCATGTGAAATTTTTACATCTTTTTTTTCCTCCTGGACATTGCTCCTTCACTTCAAATTTTCATTTTCATTTGCATTTTATTAAATATACTTATGCTTATTACGTTACCCTGTGGGGATTATTTTCCGATTAGTACACTACTGCATGTGAAAGCATCTGTCTTATTCTACGTTGTTCACTTATTTTGCCCGGTGATTGTAAAAATATACATAATCTGGATAAACTTTTAGTAGTTTCCTGTTATGAAGTCAGAGTGTGGAGCTGGTAACTTGATGTTTGTATTACGGGAAACATAACTTTTGCAAACCTGGAAAATGTTGAAAGCGTAAATTTTGTTTTGGTTCCTCCTTGTTAGCAATCTTGTTGTACTACTAATTGGATGTGGACAGACACATTGCTGTTTATGGCGCATGGACACGTTCTGAAAAGCTTTCGTTTTCCTGATCTTTTCATTGAACTACATTGCTTCTGTATATCCCCGCGATTAGCTTCATTTTTCATTGATATGTGGAATATGCTATTCAGGGACTTGACCGAAGAACAGAGGAAGGATGTAGAGTCTCCAAAGAAATCGTTTGGGTGGAATCTGAAGTCTATAGCAGATGGCATTGTCAGTTTCTGGAGGAAATTGTAAATTTTCTGTTCGAAGACTAGGAGATTTTGTTACTGTCACTTTGTGGTCTTGAGTGGTTCTAAAGTTAGTGCGCACGTGTGTACAGAGTATACTTTTTGTCGGTTCACCAAACGCTACATTTGACATTAAATCCTGCAGATAGGATACGTGATCAACCTTGTAGGAAAGCATAGATATGTATATGAAGCAGGAAAAGTAGAGTTTGTGCAGCTAATTTTCACATCGAGCCTGTTCTTCTGATTCAGAAGGGGACTTGTAGATCTTAGCATGAGGTTTCATGGCTTGATGTGCTTCTGGGGTACCATCTGTGGCATGCTAACTCCAAATCATTTATTATTTTGGTTCTTTGTTTAGAAGTTCCCAGTCTCAGTCCAAGTATGAGTTTTTTCTATCTCGTGTTTCGTTAAAAGTGTCGAATGAGGTAGATAGCATAACTGTTTTTGCGAGTCACAGTTGGCATATGCATTATATTTGATTGTTAGTACTCCCTTAAATCTTGCTTATAAAGCATCAAATTTATTTCGATGCCTTATAAGCGGGACCAGAGTGAGTACATCGTCTAGTTAGACATGATCATTGCGTAGAAAAAATAAATAATCATATTTGCTTTGTTCAGGTGCGGTTTTTTCATAATTTAGAGCCCTCTTTTTTTTTTTTTTTTTAAGAAGAAGTATGATTAGATTCTCTGCTTCAGGATTGGGATTGACAACACTCGTATCTTTTCATTGTATAGTGTTGTGTTACTATAATATTCTTTCATATTCCATAGGGTATATTGCCCCGCCAATAATGCACCAAAAATTTGAAGTGGCATCAAACTAGCTAATCGGAATCGAAAGTTGAAAACAAAAGGTTGCCTAGGGGCACGTTTCAAGTACCCCAAATAGAGTAAAATGTTGAAATGGTTATTTTACATTTCGGCTTACTTGAATTTATGTCCCTAACATTAACATTTTAATATCGTAGTTTCGAACATTATTTTTTCACATTTTTTTGGTCCCATTTCTCTATTTCGATCACTTTTCTGTCAAGGTTGATGTTGACCGGCTATTGACTTGCCGGAATCAGGGGTATTTTTGTCTTTTCACTTAATTTGAATTTCTATTAAAATTTAAATCATTAAAAATATTATAAAATTCAAATTTCATTATTTATCAATTAAAATATTATTTATTAATTTAAAATATTATTTTAAAATTTTAATTTACATTATTTTTAAAAATTACTTTTTTATTTAGCACTTATGCTAGATACAAATAAATATTAATTACATTTTATTTTTAACACCGAACCCACTATCACTCTAAAATTTTACCGCCTACAATAACTAATCCGAAATTCAATATTTTTTTAAAAAAAGAAAAAGTAGACTAAATTTGTTATCCAAATTTTCACCCCCTAATTTTTTATCAAGTCAAAAATCCAGCAGGCCCAGAGGAAAAAAAATTGAGGGGTGAAAACTGGATAAAAAAAATGATTTATTTTAATTTTTGGTCTCAATTGGATATATGATTTAAAATGTGGTTTGAGTGGAAATTTAAAAGGTTGTAGGCCGGAATTTCGCCGAAATCCGGCCGGTTGATCTCCGGCCGGCGGCGGTCCTGCGGCGGCAGTGGGTGATCCGGCAACGAGCGGCGGTGGTGGAGGTGGTGGTGTAAAAATAATATTATTTTATTTTAATAACTATGCCTACAACTTTTTGAATTTCTACTCAAACCACATTTTAAATCATATATCCAGTTCAAATCAATTACTAAGCCAAAAACTTAAATAAACTTATTTTTGTCTGGATTTTCACCCTACAATTTTCTTGCTTTTTTTTCTTAAAAAAAGTTTGAATTTTGAATTAATTATTGTAGCCCGGTAAAATTTTAGAAATAACTCATGGTTTATTGTATCGGTAAAAGTAAAAAAATCTTGGTTTTGTTTGTTTTTTTAATTTAAATTTTGAATTATTTACTGTAACGCGATAAATTTTTAAAGTTGCAGTGGGTTGGGGTTAAAAGTGCAACATAATTAACATTTACTTTGTATTTAAGGTAAATAGTAAAGAAGAAACTATTTTTTTATCCAGATTTTTCGCCCCCTCAATTTTCTTCCCTTTGAGCCCGCTGGATTTTGACTTTGCCCGAATAATAAATTAGGGGGGTGAAAATCCGGATAAAATGTTTAGTTTGCTTTTTCTTTTCTTTTAAACAAAAAATTAAATTTTAAATTAGTTACCGTAGTGTGATAAAATTTTAGAGAGATAGTGGGCTCGAGGTTAAAAATGAAACTTAATTAATATTTATTTTGTATCCAGTATAAATGATAAATTGAAAAAGTAATTTTTTCAAATAATGTAAATTTTAAAATTTTATAATAATATTTTACATAAATAATATTTTAACAATTAAATAATTAAATGTGAATTTTATAATAGTTTTAATGATTTTAATTTTAATAAAAGTTCAAATTATAAGAAAAGATGGAAATATCCCTAATTTCGGGAGGTCAAGTGCTGGTCAACATCGAGCTGGACGGAAGAGTGGTCGAAACAGTAAAATGGGAATAAAAAAGTGTGAAAACATAATGTTTGAGACTACGATATTAAAATGTTAATGTTAAGGACGTAAATTCAAGTAAGCCGGAATGTAAAGGACCATTTGAACAATTTACTCCTCCAAATATACCGTTGACCTAACAAATCTAAGTAAGCAACTACATATATAAGGGCCAAGGATGCTCTTTTCTTCTGAACTTTTTTCATGAAGAAGCTAGGCATCTAGTTGTGAATGGGACGGAGAGAATAAAAAGTCAAACTAAAACCAAAGCTAGATCGTTGATATTTTCTCTGTTCTAAGATTATTATTCAATTTAGATTTTATTTTTAGTACTACATTTTATTGTCACACAGAGCGGACAGACGGCACAGGCCACTACTGTATGAAAATTGGGGAATATTGAGCACACAAAGTTCTCGCGTCTCAATATAGGAAGATGACCTCTGCTTGTTAACAAGTGATGATTCACCTCAAGTGATGGTTCATGTGTCAATCTCTTTAATTAACAACTAGCCCTTGTTCCAAGATATGGGATCTTTTTAATCAGAAAAGAGATATGAGATCTTCAACGCATGCTGGATACGACACACAAGTCAACCTATAAAAACTAATGCAGATTTATTCTTTTCGTCTCAAAAAACAAAAATTACGTTATTCTGAAAACAAGTAATTTAAAACACCAATCTAGCATGTACATAAGCTTAATAGTGATTAAATAACATATGGGGACAAACGATCTAATTTAATATAATATCGCTCGATTTATTGCAAGTTCCTATTACCTTGGCCGAACGCTCCGAGTCCTGATGTGTATGCATTGTCTTCATCAACTTAATGGCATATCGAGTATTATAACACCCAATCATACATAATTACCAAATTGGTGTGACTAGTTTAATGGGACGGAAAGAGCTAACTTCTTAATATCCACGTCATTTTGGATTGAAACTTTCCCCGGCCCGATGATACATTTTAGGGGTGTAAGTCGGAAAACTTAATTAATACTCCCTGCGTCCTATAATTATTGTTCAGTTCGGGTTTTCATTTCTAGTTCAAATTATAGTAAAAGTGAAATCTCAAACTGGACAATAATTTTAGGGATAGAGAACTCCCTCTGTCCCGAAATTTCCAATTAATGTGCAAGTCGGCACACATGGTTGGTCCTTGGAATATATTCTTACTGCGAATGATAGTTATTGCACATTGTAAATTTGATTCAAGCAAGTCAAATGTACCATATATACAGGGAATCATATGGAATTCCTACAGATGAATCAAAGATGTAAAAAGTTGTGTGCATGGGAGCTAGCTAATTAAGAGAATGATGAACCACTCTACTTAAAGGTTTTTGCCTGTAACTTCATCTCAACATTGTAAGAAATAATACGCAATGTAGATACTGTTTTAGTGTTTTGAATTGAAATGGTAGAGAAGAAGGGAGCGAGGTGTAGTATGATAATGAAGAGTCTTGTTTGGTTAGCCAAGGATGACTTGCCTAAATCCGCTCTTTCTTTTAGGGTTCGAATTTTTTGTTTCATCTTATTATCAAGCTCTATGCTTAAAATTACTGTCTTGACTAATTCAAATTCGAATTGGATGAGTCTCCAAAGCTTACATTGTAGATGCCTAAATTTCAACTTCCTTTTTAGAATTGTGTTTAGAAATGTTAAACAGAAAAAACGTTTCCCTTTTCACTAACATTTCTGGTCTCTCTCTTCCTTTTTTTTTTTTTTTTTTATCCTGGTTCCCCCAACTCTTCTAAGTCCATGTTAGCTTTGAATAAACAAGAAATTAACAAAAACAATTTTCGTAATGCATTAACATTATCCAGCTCAGCTGTTTATTTTACTCTACTTTTTAAATTGTATCCAAATAAATTGATTAAGTAACGGATAAATAAGGAATTAATATCACTCGAGAACAAGGTTTTTATGCGTCATCCTTTTGGCTATCCAGACGGGTTCTTCATCATCATTCCATATTTTCTCTTCCATATATTGGGTCTTTGTTTGATCATTTATTCACTAAAACTTCGATCCCGTGAACACAGAGTTGCAAACACAATGACCAACTCCGAATGTGGAGCAATGAAGACGCAAAACAGAGTGGGAGAATTACAAATCTAAAGTGACGAAATCAGAGAAGTTACCCTTGACCTGTAACTTCTTTCCGTCTGAGGAAAAAATAACTTTGTTGAACTGAAAAAATAAAAATAAATAAGATGTCTTTTGGAACATATATTGAGAGTACACGAATGATATCCATATGATCTTTCCGTAGCACATTCTATATGGCATTTCTTTTAAAACAGTTCAATTAATTAGTTATATATATATATATATATATATATACATACACACACAGCATCAATATAGCACTCCCTCGGTCCCACAAAAATAGTCCACATTGAGTTTTAAGTTTTGTACTATTTTTAGTACAAATTTGAAAACTCAATGTGGACTATTTTCTTAGGACGGAGGTAGAAGTTTTTATAAACAATTGTAATTTTTCGATTTTGATATTACTATTTAATGTTCGACATCATGTCAAAGTTGAAATAGTTATTGTTCTCCTCTAAATTTCATCTCTCTCTTTTTTTCTTTCTTTTTTTTTTTAACCTTTTTTGTGCAAATTCGAGCGCTAGGTATTTCCTGACTGAGAGGCCTCCGAACGAAAATTTTATGAAATCTAAAGGCGCGCAGCGGTACTTTGAATCAATGAAAGATCATGACATAGCAAACTTTATTACCGTATTTCACAACAAAAATTTCTTGTCTTACGTTTAGGTATTTGGTCTAACCTTAAAACAAAGCAAAAAAAATTATGACGATACTAACCATGAGATTTATGGTTCGATCCTTGGTATATGTTAAATCTTACAAAAAAGTATAATAAATAGGTAG